ATGCTATAAAATGCAATCCTAAAAACAAACAAAAAAACAAACCTCTGAATTCTACATTCACCTCCACTTAGCAGTTCATTTCTTTGCTCTCCTCTACAGCAAAACCCTTAAAAAAATTAATGTACTGTTTGTATTTAACTGCGACACCATACTCTCCCGGTTTCCTACTTTTCTAGTCTTTTGCTCTTTCCCCCTCTCCTCCCAGATGTCTAAATGCTGGAGGTCTCCCAGCCTCCTCTCTTCATTCCCTCCCCTGATACTCACACATCCAGTCTCATGGTTTTAAATCCATCTATATGCTAATGACTCCCATTTGGCTATCTGTCCACGTCTCTAGTATGCATTTCTCCCCTGAACTCCAATACATACATCTCCACCTGGATGTCCTAATGTGCATTTCAAAATTAACATGTTTCAAACTAATTTCACATCTCTCCTGCATTTTGCCAACACTGACTTCCCACAGTCTTACCCATCTCAGTTAATGGCAACTCCACTCCCTCAAAATGCCCAGGCTAAAAATCCTTACAGCCACCTTTGACTCCTCTCTTGAACACTCCACATTCAAACCATGGGCAAATCCCATGGCTGTTATCCACTAGTTTTTAACTTTCTCCTAACACTCTAGTCTAAGTCACCATCATTTCGTTCCTAGATTATTACTACCACTTCTTAAATGGTATCCTTATTTCCACACTTGTCCTCTTACACAGTCTTCTCAGAAACTGAAATGACCTGCCATTTCACTCAAAGAATACGACAAAGCCCTTAAAACAGCCAGAAAGACTTACGTGTATGACACCCTCTCCTACATTACTTGTCCACCCTCCTCTCCTGGTACACTCTCCTTTGTTCATTCTATTCTAGTTACACAGGATTCCTCATTATCCCTTGACTATCCCAAGCACACTCCCACCTCTGGCTATTGTTTGGAATATTCACATGGTTTTTGTATCCAACAAGTTTTTGTTCTAATGTCACTTTCTCCATGACATCTACCCTGATCACCCTAATTATAACCCCCACTATTCCCGAGTCCCCCTTAGTATGCTACAGTTTTGCTTCAGTAGCATTAACCATCTTCTAACATATTATAGATTTGTTATTTTTAGTATCTTGTTTTCTCTCATTCACATTTAATCTCCATTTGGAGTGGGATTTTTTCAGTCTGTCTTATTTACTCACATATCCCTGACATCTAAACAATACCAAGCACAGAGTAGGCAATCATAGATATTTGCTTCATGAACAAATGAAGGATTAGAGAACAATTAACTGAACAAACAGAAGGGCTGTGCTGTTCTGCAATCATAGTATCAGCTGGTCATGGGGGTGGTACTACAGCAGGAAGAATATAGCCAATGAGTGACTGCAATGGGGTATGGAGGGGGGACATGATAACAGGTTGTGAATGTAGTAACCACATTGTTTTTTCATGTGAAACCTTCATAAGAGTGTATATCAATAATGCCTTAATAAAAAATAAATAAATAAAAAGAATACAGCCAATGATTCTGCTACATCTTCCTATGTTGTTGACAAGATAGTAACTGCACTAGTGGGGGTGAGGATTTAAGAATACGGGTAGCTGTTGAACCACTGTGATGTATACTTGAAACCAATGTAAGATTGTATATCAATCAACTATGCTTCAATAAAAAAAAAAAGGAAGGCCATGCTATTTTAAATGTCAAACTCTTACAACAATTCATTACTTAATATTACACTTAAATGTTCAAAGAGATCAAAAACTAAACCTCTAAATATTTATTCTCCATTCCAGCAAATGGGCCCACTATCTGCCTAAGTGAGGCTCGATGGACCCTCTCACCTTTCTATATCCAATCCATCAAGAAGCCTATCAATTTTAACATGAAAATTCAGCTCAAATTCATCTACTTCTCTTTATTTCCACTACTAGGACTCTAATCCAAGCCATCACAGTCTCTCTCCTGTACTATTTTGATAGCCTTCCACCTGTTTTCTCTGCTTTAGTTTCTTGCCCTCTTCAACCCATTTCCTAAATAGCAGCAGGAGTGTTCTTTATGATGTAACTGGACCATAATACTCCTCTGCTTATCATCTCACAACATGAGTGGGCTCCTGCCTACATCCAACTCTGACTGTGCCACTCTGCCCCTTGCTCATGATGCTCTAGCCACAAAGGTCAGTTTTCAGGTCCTCCAACAAGACCTGTCCTCTGCTGCCCAGGTCTGCATATGCTGTTCTCACTCCCCTCCACTGTTCAGCCTTCAGATCATAGCAAAAAAATGGTGCTTCCGATTTAGTGTAGCTCTCATTCTGTACCTCATTCCTTGACTGTTTCCCTTCATAATTCCTAACAATTTGCTTGTTTTTTTGTTTCTTCTCCATTACAATATAAGCTCCATGGAAGCAGGGACAGCAATGGCAGGTGTAAAAAGTAGGTAGAGGTACGTCATTCGAAGTGCCTGAGAAGCACTAGCTGTGGGTCTCTCACCGTATAAGCTGTCATTCTAATACTCTTCGCCATCACGCTCCCTCCAGGCGCAGCACTTCTATCATTTCAAAAGGAACTAAAGAGAAGCCTTCATTAGCAAATCCCATTAATTCCAATGCTGTGAATTGAAATGTGTCTTCACAAAATTCTCAGGTTGAAGCCCTACTCCCAGTGTGGTGGCATTTAGAGATGGTTCCTTTGGGAGATAACCAGGGTTAGACGAACTTGAGGGGGTGTGGCCCTTATGATGGGATTAGTGCTCTTATAAAGATAGGAAGAGGCACTAGGTTCTCTGCCGTGTGAGGACAAAGCGGAAAGGCAGCGGTCTGAAAGACAGAAAGAGAGCCCTCACCAGCACCCTGATTTAGACTCCTCGCCTCCAGAACCGTGAGAAATACATTTTTGTTGTTTAAGCCATCCAGTCTATGGTATTTTGTATGGCAGCCTGAGCTGACTAAGACACCAACCAAAATGAGAATGCTCCCGTCTCACCAGCACTATAACCCAAGTGTGTCAGGAAGACACCTGATGCACAGCATTCTCTAGCAAGACTGTTCCCAAACCAAATCTGCTCCACTGCTTGTCTGATGCTCTTCTCCAAACAGCTATACTTTTGAAGGCTGAGCACTGTAAACTTCAAATACTCTTTGCTTTAAATACTCAAAAGCTATAAGATTTCACAGCTGGCGCTGAAGGGTGGTGGGCACCCTCCCCTCAGCCACCTTCCAGCCTATCCACCTCTTTGCACTAACATGGGTGGGTCATGCACACTGAGACCTATCAACAACTGTGTTTTGTTCAGAAAGACTCACTGATATTTCAGTTAGGAAGTAATTTTGGTTGGGACTCTGACAGCATATAGAAACATTTCCTCAGGCAATCTTCCCATGGGATTTCTGCCTACATGAGAATCTCAAAGGACTCTTTACTAAATAAACTATTACTTGTTTGTTTAAAAAGTAAACATTTCAAAAAGCTCAGTTTTTCCCCCTCAAAAGCTAGGCTCTAAATGTTGATTAGAATGAAGCAGCAACTAGATTCTTTTAAGACAATCTGTTAGAATGTTTAAACATTCAGGAGCTTCTATAAATCTGAATTACCAAGTCAGTTACTTCTCTGATACTTCTACCTTGGAGATTTCAAAGCACAGTCTTTAAGCTTGGTATTAAAAAAAAAAAATCCTATGTCCCTCTTATAGAGAGAAATAAGAAAAAAATAAGCAAAGCAGCTTGTAGTAGGCTATGACGGTCCCCAAGTCCAGAGTCCACTTTTACAAGAAAGAGCAACACCATGCCAAATTATCAAAGGCATTAAGCTTGGTTACAAAATAGAGAAGGGCAGTATTGTCATTGGAACAATCAAAGCTGCTCTGAAATGGGACCTGAAGACACTAAGTTCAGTGGCAATGGGATGCTCAAGCTGAAAAGACCCTCTGTATTTTAGGATCTGTGGTTCCAAATATGAGTCAATATTGCACTTAAGTGCAAAAGGGGACAAAGGGCTAGAAAAGGAAACTCTCCAAGTACAAAATGTTGAGGATCTGAAAAAGCATTAACCTTCAAATAATTTTAATAAAGAACTTCACCTGTACAAACCCAACCCACCTTTGAGTATCCACTGTCAGTATGCTCCTCCCTCCTATAGTTGCCTATAGCAGGAGAAAGAAACAAGGGCTTACAGCTTTGGGAAAGCAAAATGTAGCTGCTTCTCATAAAAAAGTTTTAAGCCCCTGGCCTAGACATTCATTGTAGAACTAAAGGGAGACAGAAACTAGCCTCCCAACCCATTTAAAAATAGAATTCTCTAGTCCTAATCCACATTTCTCTCTGAGAGATGCAGTAACTTGTTCACAGTTACATGGAGAATTGGAAACTATGCCAGGAAATGAAATTTACGTCTCCTTACTCTTAAGCTATTCTTAATATACCCTGCTGACTCCCACTTAATAATCAAAGTAGGAATTCAGACCTAAATAAGTAAGGAATCTGTCTAAGGAAAACCCTAGTCTCCTTAGTCTTAGAGTGAATTCCGAACTCGAAAAGCCAAATGAAGAATGTTTGGGGAAAGTTTGCCAACAGTCTAGCAGGATACTTCATACTCAGTAGACTCTCTACCACACCAGACCCTCCAATCTTATAACTATGCCTTTTCAAGTTGTCCTGCCTCATGAGTGCAAAAACAATTGTGTTTTTATATGTTTTTCCTAAGAAAGCTTAGATCAAAAAGGAGAAACTAATCTCACTTCCCTCTGCCAGAATTCTGGCATAGTGGGACTATGCAGGAATGTACCTACTGTGGATCTTCTCAGACTCCAAGTAACCAGCAGAGGCGTGTTCCACACACTCCCCAAGTATCTGAGCTGATCTCTCTTTAACTTCATACAAAAGAGTATATCACACCTATACAAGTGATTGAGAAAACCACACAGATGAATTCACACAGTAGTACAGCAATTTTGGCAGGGCACCAATTACTAACGATAAAGTATAAAAAATTTTTTTTTTTACCTCAGAGAACTTACCCAAGCACGTTACTCTTGGCATTCACACAGCAGATCTGACAAAAGGACCTCAGGCCCCAGTAACCTGCCCTTAAGACCAAAACCAAAAAGGACCAGGTAGAGTTTCTATGCAAAGGAAGTTACCTGGTAAGAAGATAAAGATAAGCATTTTATCTCTTACCTGAAGCCAAAGGTCGGATCCACTCTTTGCTATTTAGGTCAAGTCTCCAGAGGTCATTGAAGGCAGCATTGCAGCTGCTCTGGGTACAGCCTCCAAACACATACATGGACTGATTAGCATCATAATAGCATGCACCTAGAAAGAAAACAATAAACGAATAACTGATGTTTAATTTTGAAGTCCTTCTAATGCCTTACCCAGAGCCCGTATCTATCAGATCAATTATTTGACACGTCTGACACTCTGTTACTAGGTACCAACTTTATATAACCAGCCTCCTGTCTTCAGGTTGGTATTATACTAACCTTTAAAATAAGACCCAGAGAAAAGCTATGGAAATGTTACTTCTGAGCACAGTAAGCCAACTGACAATGATATCATTAAATAAGACAGTGTAATTTCAGCGGGAACACACAAGAATTCAGATTAAGAATGCTCAGTGAATGAAATTTCAGCACAGCTGCATAATTAATCTAAACCTGCATCATTATCCTCTAGGGCTAGGCAGACAGTCGTGCCAACAGAGGGACTCTCCTCCCGTTTCTCTCCTCCAGTCCTCCTCTTACTGTTTCTGTTTTCAAGTGAAACCTGAAGCACAAGCCAATAAACAGGCCTTTGTGTGAAAGAGAGTATAACAGAAAACATTTTAATCAATGCCATGAAATCGCCACATGTAAAGACCAATGTAGCTCAGTGATACCAGAAGTAGTATGCAAAGCAACTGAGAGAAAAAGCATGGAGTCACTAAGCCCCTATGCGTATTCACAAGCCATTAAGGCAGGCTCGTTGGTGCTGAATAAAAAACCAGTGCAGTAAGTAATATTTAAAAAGCACTAAGGCCTCTGAGAAGAGCCTTTTTAACTAGATGATTGTGTACACCTCACCAATGGACACCATTTGGAAGAAGAGGCAATGACGGTGAATGGGGCTGTTCCCCTAAAACTGGAAAACCAGCAGAGTCTAGACGAGAGGCACGACAGCTGAGCTCTGCCCCGCACTTCCCATGGGAAAGCTCATTTAGTCTCTATCCTTTGGAGAAGATGACCACATTCCTTACAGTCCTGCATTTACCATCTTGGATCTCAGGAAAAGGGCTGAGCAAAACTTTCTTTTCTACCCATTTCACCAGTGGGAAAAAAGGACCTCTGAATGTTCACATGAAACTAGGCTAAAAGAGTTAAAGGGAAAAGAAATTCAGAGATTCTATGCATGGTTTCAGCTTATTTGTCGGTCTAATTCACTTTGGCACATCACTGTTTTTAAGATTTCTTCTGAAGTCTGGCACCACTTACTCGAGCTCAGAAAAATGGAGATGCCACTGTGGCGATTGCCTCTGTGACGCATGCTAGCATTGGGGTAACCCTCCTTTTTTCCTCTCCTTGACTCAGCCCACCCAGTAGGCCCTTTAAGGAATCTCTACACTAGGAAGGCCAAGTCAGAAAATTGGATGAGTTAGGAGATAATAAAAATAGTGGCTTCAGTTACTTACACCCAGTAATTTCAGTCAGTGCGAAGAGTTAATCCAAATCATCTGACCTCACACTGAGCAACAAGGGAGCTGCAGACTTTTCAAATTAACAGAGAAATGAAGGAAACTAGAGATGTGAAGAAATGAAATACCATCTAATCATCAATACACTCACACCTTACAATACTTACTGTATTTCCAGAACTCACACTACAATGGTATATGAAAATTTAAATGATCTTACACTTTCCACTGACTTCCTCCACTTTTGAAAAAAATTATCTGTATCTAAAACAGTTTTTTAATCCACATCCCAAGGAAAGTCTATTAAGTAAAAGCCTATGAAATCCCATTGATCGTGTTTCAGATTTGTTAAGAGCTACAAATAACAAAGGATCAAGTCAGATGATATTAGATAAACAAAAAGTATAATTACTGGAGCTACATTTTAATCTCCACTAAAGGAGCTGAGTTTCAGCTATGTTGGTTTTCTCATACCTTATTTGACAGAGCTACTCCAACAAATGGGATAATTTTGAATAGAAACTGGTGCCAGGTCTAAAAAAAAATCCTTCTCCTTTTACTAGTCCATACCTCCAGAACAGAAATTAGCCATGTTCTACAGCCTCTGAAACCTTAATCTGTGCCCATTATAACAATATTTAGTAAGACATATCCATGATTATATAACTAAAAGAGTGAAGGGCTCACTATAATATCCCACCAGACCTAGAACATCAACTCTTGGTAGCTGTTTCCATTGTGTAGCAAAAGAGCACAGAGCTTTTATTTCTCAGAGGTAGCAAACATTCTTCTTCTCTATTTGGACTGAAAACCCAGGGAGCAGCCGGGCCCCACGAGGTCCTTACCACATGTATTTTAATCCTACACTAAAATAAGGCAATCAGCATTTTCCTGCTTCTCTTTCAGCAAACAAAGGTTCCTGGAAGAGGAAGGCACAGCCCAAACTATGCAAAGCTTATGCAACTGAAATGTAAGTTTCACACACTGTATTTTCAATGTCTAGCAGCAATTATCAACGAAGCTTGGAGAGGAAGGGAGTCGATTTAGGCAGCTATGTTTAGAACTCACATATAATAGAATAAGAAAAGTCATTAATAATACACTCAAATATTTTAAGCATCCCACTGAACTTTGTTTATTGTCTATTTTTATTTAAGACACCTACATGCTGGTTTAGGTGGGGGTGAGGAGACCCAACAAGTTCAATGGGTCTGTAAAAAAAAATTAAGAACTTCGAGCAAATACCAGTGCTCAAGCAGTCATTTCCCTTTTACCAAAGTTTTCCACCCAAACAGAATGCTTTCCTTTCACAACTTCTAGACCACTAAATACAAAAATTAAAGTTCCTAATATAGTATGAACACTCTGCTAAGAAATAACATTGAGAATGTTTATTCCAATTGCTAAATTTCTTCAAATTTTCTGAAATGGACTTATCTGCTCCATGAACGACTATTACAAGACACATACCTCAAGTTAGCATGTAATAATCCCTATTCAAAGATAATCAAATATTTATAATTACACACAGCAAGTAAATGGTTCTTCAGCATTCTGAATACTTCCCTACTAATATAATCTTCTCACATGCAAGGTCTTCCAGTTATTTATTTTCCATGGTGCCTGGTAGTCACTGAATAAATGTTCAATGAACTCTAATTTTGGCACTTTCAGATGTTAAGTTCTCTTTTGTTTCCCCACTTGTCTCCAGGGAAAGGTCCTGAGGCATTTATCTCACGCTGAAGAGACTATGCTGTCATGTGTCACACATTTACAAGCCAGGACATATTTGTAAGGCCTGTAATTACATAACTATGGAACAAGTAAGCTTGGTTATCTAGTCTGGACCTGCTAGCTACTGCAAGAGCACAATTAGCATGTGTGTGGAATGACCTGACCGTATTTGGAACCTAAACACTAAAATGTTTCTCCAAGCATGGTGCTGGAGACACAAAAGACTGAAAAGGACATCCTACATTAATGAAGAAATCAAGGCTTATATGATTGGTCAAGTACACTCACCAAAAACTAGGAGAACTGGCCTCATTTTACTCCCCGCCCCGCCCCGTTTTTGTCCCAGATTTTTATACAGGCAACAAGCTGTACTGCTCATATATCTCTGTTACATTTAATTCCACAGAATTTAGTAGATATCAACTATGAACCAGGTGTTGTGAAAGGTACACAGATGTCTAAGACACAGGACCTGCCTGTCTTCAGCAGACAACAGTCCTGCAGAGGAGACTTCACCACCACCCTGTCACTCTGCAGTTTAAAACATATTTTTACAAGTGTTTCCTCAATTAAGTTTCCAAGCAACCTTGTGACATAAATAGAACTTGCCACACTATTTTACAGATGAGGAAATGATGGGTTAGGAGAGCCAAAGACCTTGCTTCCCAAGCTTAAGTTCTTTTGCAGGCAGCCTCTCCTACACAGATAATCATGGTAAGAGAGGATAATAAATAGTAAGAGGAAGGCATGAAAAGTGTATCAAGGGAGTATAAGAGAACAAAGAAAAGAGCTCAGTCTCCATGATGGGGGCTTTCAGAACAGTTTCTGGAGAAGGTGGCTTCTGCTTTGTCTCTGAGATGGGTTTTAGTGGACAGGACCTTTTCAGTCAACTAATGAGGGACAAACAAAGCTAGGGAAGAAAAGGAATGGGAGGGAAAGGGAAAATGAAATCAGGGCCTCCAAGTAGAGGCATGAAGCAGGGAAGTTTAAAATACCAAGGAGTCTCATGTGGACGGAGCCTGGCTGCGTAAGGATGAGGCAGTTGAGTCAGGCTGAAACGTTAAGCTGGGCCTTAGAAGCCAGGTAGAATGGAAACCTTGCACGCAGTGTGCAAAGACTGAAGCTTTTGGAAAGAGGAAAAACAAGCCTGGTCTTAAGTTTCAGATGTGCAGCTCTTCTCCTGTCACTCTGGGCAGGTTAATTCTGTGTGCGGGATCATCCCACTCACTGTAGGCCAGGTAGCATTCCTGGTCCTTGCCCACCAAATGCTTCAGTGTTTCCAGGCAAGACAATAAACAACAGCCTTACACATTTCCAAATGCCCTAGGAGGTAACACTGTCCCCAGTTTTAGAGATGGTTGCCAACAGTGTCTAGTCAAGGTTCAGATGATGAGAAACGAAGGCAAGGAGACCATTTAGAAAGAATTAGGAAAGATGGAATGATTAGCTCATAATGTTGAGTAATGGGTGGCGGTGGGTGGGGGGAGAAAGATGTGAGAGATTGCAGAGACAGAACAGAATCACCAGGGTTTGACTTTTGTTGAGAGAAGAAGAGAAATTGAAGAGGAATTCAAGATTTCGAGCTTATGTAATTGAGAGAATGATAATGTCATTAATTAAATTAGGGAGAGGAGAGAATTGGGGGAGGGGGTATCACACTTCTGAGTTCCACTTTTAGCTGACTAAATATGAAATGTGTTATCTCTGTGGCCATATGAGCAAAGACTTGGAAATTCTAGGTCTCAAACTTAACATGACTTAGGAATAAGAAATAAAACTGAACTCAAGGGAGAACTACAGAGTAGAGAGGAGCTACGGAAACAAATGAAAGGAATTCCTTGTTTTCACCCTATTGTGAAAACTGCCCATTTCCCTGTAACCATCCTCTTCAGTTTGACAGCTAGACAGCACGTAGAGACAGATGGAAGGAAAAATGAGAGACAGACCAAAAGACACCAGAGAGACAATAAAACACAGAGCACCTTAAAAAAAAAATCTATGGTACCTTTTCTTGAATTTCAAGTGAAGATATGAAAAAGATGTTTAAGTACAAACAAGTATCAAAACTCGCAACCTGTGAACTTCTGGGCGCTTCCTACTATGCTATTCCTTTCTACTTGCCCTTCAAACAACTGCCTCTATTTTGTGGAATATTCTTTTCAAAAGTAGTTAACTAAAATATTTTTTCCCTCTCTATCAGAAAGCTGAACTGGTGCTATCATAACTATTTACCCCCGAATATTTCCTATTCTGGCTTCCGTTTACCCAGATTTATTTGATTGCCCTTAAATCAAATGTAGGGTTCTAAAACTACAGTTGGCGCTTGACCAACATAGGTTTGAACTGTGCAGGTCCATTTATACATAAACTTTTTTTCCAGTAAATACACTGGAAAGCTTTTTAAAGACATTAACAGTTGGAAAAAAGTTATTTTCTCTAGCTTTCATTACTGTATGAATATAGTATATAAGACATATAACATACAAAATATTTGTTAATTGACCATTATCAGGCTACTAGTTTTGACCCTTTGTGCCCAGAAGTTCACAGGTTGCGAGTTTTGATACTTGTTTGTACTTAAACATCTTTTTCATATCTTCACTTGAAATTCAAGAAAAGGTACCATAGATATATTTTTTAAAGGAGGCTACTAGTAGTTGAGTTTTGGGGGTGTCAGGCTGTACATTGATTTTTAACTGAGTGGGGGGTTGGTGCCCCTAACCCCTGTGATGCTCAAGGGTCAACTGCACTTGTTTCAAAAAACTGCCTTAGAAAAACAGTCTTCAGTCTTTAGAAACCTTGTTTCTACTTCTTATCCCGATTATGTGTAGGTAACTGAAGTTACCCCTCCCTCAAAGATACTGTACCTCATATGGGTCCTCCTGGAATTTCATTAAATGTTCTCAGCAAGCATTCATTTATAGTCTATTTAAGCTACTGTCAAAGTGTGGTCTGTGGATGCCTGAAAACACTCGGGATTCCTTCAAAACTATTTATAACAAGAAAAAGAGGAGGAGGAGGAGGAGAACTGCCTTTTCCCCTGTGTTGACATTCGCACTAATACTGCTAAAGCAATGCTGGGTAGGTCCGCTACAGCCTGAGCAGGCAGCAAGGCAGGGGCACTCAGCCGTTCTGGTGATCATGTGCTTCACTGTCACACACTCAGTTCAACGCAAAAAAACAAGCCAGTTCTGGCTTCACAGATCCCTGTAGGGTCTGAAATGGTCTCATAGACACCATCCTCCCTAGGGGCCTAGGGGTCACACTTTGAGTTCCACTGTTCTAGGAAGTGTATACTTAAATAAAAATAGCTCCTTGAGAGAACTGACAACACCTCAATAGGGTGGCCTGTTCTTTTAATCTATTTAGATCAATTCAAAGACAATGATTAGTTATACTTATTTCCTGAACTCTCTCTGGATACAAGAGGATAATACATGGTCTGGGGTATTCAGCCTCCAATAAGCCTCACTTCCTGGTAGTCACATACTTGGTCAATCCCTGTGTGACCAACAGGACAGAGAAGAAAAGATGGTATTTCACTTCACGGATTAGGTTGTGAAAGACACCATGGCTTCCATGTTGGCCTCCGTCTCTCTCTCTCTCAGATCATTCATTCTGTGGGAAGCCAGCAGCCAGGTCCACGTGCTAAGTAAGTAACTGCAGACTCTTGTCAACAGTTACTTAAGTGAGCTTGGAAGCAGATCCCCTGGGCCCCAGTCAAGCGTTCAGGTGACTGCAGCCCTGGCTGCCAGACTGACTGCAACCTCCTGAGACCCTGAGCCAGAACCTCCCAGCTAAGCTACTCTCAAATGCCTAACCCTCAGAACTCTGAGATAATACATGTTGTTTTAAGCTACTAAGTTTTGGGGGTAAGTTTTATGCAACAACATGGGTAAGTAATACCCTCTCCTTTCTCTCCGGAGTTGAAAATAGAGTTTTAAAACATACACACATATATGCTAACAATGAAAAACAATGTAAGTTAAGTGCCAAATTATTATTCCAGACAACATAAGCTCAAGACAGAAAAGAATTTTCTGTTGGCACAAGAGTTGAGAAAGGTTTCATAAAGGAGCTAGGCTTCAACTGAGTCTTCAAGGAAAGGCAGGCTTCAGCTAGGCAGCCGGGATATTCCAAGGAGGAAGAAGCAAGTATGGCAAAGGACTGTTCGAGAGTAGAGAGCTCTTGGGAAAAGCTGGGAGATGAAGTGGTAAATTTAGACAGAGGTCAAAGTAAAGAGGACTTTTCATATAAGACTCAGTGAAGCTTTTATCTTGTAGGCAATAGGCACTGAAGGTTTTTGAATAGGGAAGTAATATAATTAAAGCTGTAATTATGAGAACTTTCTAAGAACACCCCCTCCCATGAGCTTTCTTTATGTAGAACCAATAATAAATACACCATTACTGACCTAAGATACACCATATATCAATTTCGCTTTGATGGAAGTATATGAATCGCTAATAGAATAAAATGGTGCCTACAAAAAAAAAAATCAATTAAAATATGGTTAATTCTAGAGTAATTCAAAAACTCTAAATTATGTCTATTTGTCAGATTATTTTATTATTTTACTATTCAAATTTGTATTTGATAATCATACTCTTCATGTTCAAAATTTTTGTGTGACCCCAAATTCAGTGTTTGCTGAACATATATATACTATGTTCAAATAAAGAATCATTATAAGACTTAGTGCTAAACTATGGCTACTCCCTCAGCGGGATCCCAGAAATACCTCTCCTTTGTTTTCCTCTTACTTGATGTCAGATGTTTAAAATTCTAAGCAGAATACCTTGACCTCTTTGGAGTAGATACACTAGAGAAGTCCAGGGAAAAAGCAGAAAATCATACCAAAGTGCCTGCAATGTATTTAGGCTCACACTCTTCCCTATTTCTAATTATAAAATTAATATAAAACTTCATTTTTACCTTCTCTTCATTAAAAAGACAAAATACTTGCCTCCAAAGTAGTTTTCGGAAACATAACCAGAGGCATGGTGGGATCTGATTTCACAGTAAATACTTACTATGTGAGAACCGCTGAGTGATTGGGGTTCCAGGATAAGGGTAAGTCCGACTCTCCCACTGAATGTTTCCTTCCTGGACAGCCTTTATGAAACCATGATAACACTGGTGGGCTACACCTAAAGACAAAAATAACAAATGCCTCAGCCTGGATACTTCACTTGTAAATCAAGTTATTAAAACTGAATCTATTAACTAAACGACTCTCCCACTGAATGTTTCCTTCCTGGACAGCCTTTATGAAACCATGATAACACTGGTGGGCTACACCTAAAGACAAAAATAACAAATGCCTCAGCCTGGATACTTCACTTGTAAATCAAGTTATTAAAACTGAATCTATTAACTAACTTATCACTGTCTTATAACTGTCTTATCACTTTTATAAGACATAAGTTTCGTTAAGGAACTCCAAATTTCTTTGGTTTTTTCATTCAAAGAAAAAGAAACAATCACAGAATTTAAAACTGGAAGATGCAATCTTTCCATTTTAGCAAGGTTCAGGAAGGTTAAGGTTACATATTAGCTCACATTTTAACTCTGCTTCCCTTTGTCATATCATGAGGCAACACATCAAAATAATGTATTATTTACTCCAAAACAAAAGGGCTGGAGGTAATTTAGCTTTGTGGGAAAGAGTATGGTAAAATAGTGTCTGGAATTTAACAGATGTTCAGTAAATATCTATGGTTAAACCATGGCAACTAAGCACTCTCCATCTTAAATCAGGAGGTGCTAATTAGCTCACTGTGGATTATAAAACAATGAATTTATAAGTATGGAAAACTTTTTAAAAAGTGAGAGTTTTTACTATAATGGTAGTAGGTACATGTCATTATACATTTGCCCAAACCCCCAGAATGTACAGGACCAAGTGTGAACCCTAAAGTAAACTATGGACTTTGGATGATAATGATGTGTCAATGTACATCCATCAATTTGAACAATGTACCATTCTGGTGGGGGACTGTTAACATGTGCACATGTGGAGGCAAAGATTATATAGGAAAGCTCTAAATCTTCTGTTCAATTTTGCTGTGAACCTAAAACTACTCTAAAAAATGAAGTCTATTTTTTAAAAAAGTGAGAGCTTTGTATTTCTGGAATAGTCTATTTTTTTTTCTTTTGTTCTTCTTCTAATTAAGGTTATTATTGATCTACACTCTTATGAAGGTTTCACATGAGCAATTTTGTGGTTTCAACATTCACCCATGTTATCAAGTTGCCCCCCACACCCCACGGCAGTAACTGTTCATCGGCACAGTAAGATGCTAGAGTCATTACTTGTCTTCTCCGTGCTATACTGCCTTCCTCGTGACCTACCTATCTTGTGAGTGCTAATTATAATGCCCCTTGATCTCCTTCTCCGTCCCTCTCCACCCACCCTCCCCAGCCCCTGCCTTTTGGTAATTGCTAGTCCCTTCTTGAAGTCCATGAGTCTGCTGTTGTTTTTGAACAGTCTATTTTCTAACACATGAATGATTATTTCAAGAAACACCACTTTGAATGAAAAGTACAACCAATTATGTTACATTTTGGAAGACTGTATCATTCTTGAATTTATGCCATCTAAGTTGATCCTTAAAGAAGGATCATAGTACTTACAAATGTTTTCCAATGATGATCAATAGCCATTGGGTGAGCTCAGTTAAGAACTGGAATATATGTCCATCTTTAATGCGTGACAGCACTGCCAACTACACACTGATGAGTAAGGAGCAGATGTGCAAATGCTGAATTGAGGTAAGGCAGTAATGAATTAAAGACAGATACATACTAATTGAGAGGGGAAAAGAAGCAGTTTTGGCAGTGACTTTCCCCAGAAGACCTAACACCACGAGTACCAGGTTAGGGTTCCTCTATCTTAAAAAAAGATCAAATGGTAAGAAAGCCAAATGAAACCTAAGAGTAAATTAATATACTTGGTTAGATCACAGCCTCTCACCTCTCAATTTTAGAGGTGAAAGCACCTATTTCCACAGTGTAGGGAGCCAATCTTTCCTGACAAGTCCATTAACTCTGCAAACAGAAGCAGGCTGTGCACACCAGTGTTACCAGCTATGAGCAGATCAGCACAGGGCCCAGTAAGCAGTTCCAATGCAGCTGGTCCTTAACCCCTCAGGCTGGACTTTGGGCAACTGACAAGGATTGCACTCCCCATGTCAACCACCCCAATGCAAGGAAAAGATTTTCAGATTGATTCTAATCTAAAGGTTTTTTGCTCTCAAAACTCTGGCTGCCTTATACTCACCAGAAAAGAACAAACTGATACAACCCTTGCTTTGATTAAACTGGCCTGATCATCTTCTTTCAAAAACAGGCTCTTTCCACTGAAATAGAAAGAAGCTGAATAACTGCTATATATTAATTAAAAATACAGTATAGCTAGTAGCCTCAACATGTAGCTGTCATTGAAACCTTGCTTAGAAAATGGAGGGAAATAAATGAGACACTTATGTTTGAAAGTAAAAGGCAGAAGGCCTGTGCTGCTCAGAGATAAAATCAAATGGTAAATGCTTTTGCTATCTCCCATTTGCCACAATTAGCTACTGTAAGAGACAACATGGTATCCTCATAAAGCACATGGACTCTAAAGCCAGACTGCCTGAGTAGTGTATCTTGAAACCTCCAATTACTACCTGTGTGACCTTGGTAAGTTACTTAACTGCAACTTGCTCTGTTTCTTCACTTGTAAAATGGAGACAATAATTTTGCCTCACTCAGTTTCATCATCTGTTCATAGTCTGACATGAGGATTGTAGAGCAGTTATAATAATGCCAGACAGTAACAGCTATAGTAATGTTAGCTATTATTGTTTTTCCATATCCATCCTTATGTTGCCTATTGAAGAACAATATAATTCACCAGATCAACCCTCAAAATATGCAGAAAAAAATCTCATTTTAAAACTGCAAATTGGATTACGTATTACAGTATTCAAGCTGTTCATAAACTAACCAGGATAAAGAGAAAAGAAAAATGTAGTTTTAACTGTCTCACCCTATCTTTTAGGACAATAACTTCAAGGGAGAAAAGAGAAAATGATACTGGGAGTTTAAAAATAAATCATTCAAATAAATTTTGGCTTTCCACAGTACCTTTGATAAGTCGATACCACTGTTTACAGACAAGGGCTGCCGTTTTGTGTTCCTGGTATGGTGAAAGAAAGGACAGGATGTACTCCAAAACTTCTTCTGGCAGCTCAGACATGGATCTATTATGTCTAGTTTCCTCAACCTCCAATACTGGGTGGGGTTCTTCATCTTGCTCCATTGTCCCTTCCAACACAGTTTCTTCTTGGTCCACAGCCATGAAACTGTCATCTTCACTGTCTGTGGAGCTGGCCATGACATTCCACTCGACAGCTAGAGAGGGAAAGAAAGAAACATTAATATATACAGGCAGAAGCTTTGCAATACCACAGGCATGTACGTCTGAGCTATTCATGATTTCTTTTAGACCCTCAATATGAAATCTGTTCTTTAGCACTGTCCCACACTAGTTGGGAGCCATCTTAATCTGACAGGTACAGCTCAAACACCAAGCCCACTCCAAATGTCTAACAAATCCCTAAAGGCTTCTGACTGTATTTTTTCCCTCCAATGAAAACCAGAATGACAGTCAAGTTCTGGTATAACAATAAACTGAGAAAACTCGTTCTTTAACAATTCCTCCAACTCAAGGATATGACTGGCAGACAGCAAATGGAGTAGCAACTAGACTCCTTTGGCCAGTAACAAGATTTCAAACTTAGAAGGAAAAGCTAACCATGGGTCCTACAAGAGTAAAAAGAACATTCTGAGGATGTAGACTAAGAAATAACAGTTTTTCTAGCTTTTACTAAGACAATTCACTTGAGGATAATAAATGTTCCAAGAATAGTATTAATTAGTTAAAATACCAAATATAAGGAAATATTTATATTAGAAAACATTATAACAGATCAAGGGGGTAAAAATCTGGAAACAATACCAATGCCCATCAACATCAGGACAGATAAATTGTGATTCAGCCACACAGTGGAATACTCTTCAGCAAAGAGCCACAGATACACACAGATAAATCTCTCAAACATAATACTGAGTAAAAGAAGGCAGAAGAGTAACACAGTACATAATCACACTTATATCAAATTCAAAACTAGGCAAAACTAATTTATGCTGTTTCAAGTGAGTATAGTGGGAAGCTTCTGGGGTGCTGGTAATGTTGTTACTTGCCTGGATAATAATGGTTAAACAGATGTGTTCAGTTTGTGAAAAATTCACCAACCTGAATACTAATGCACTTCTCTAAAGCTTACCAAAACAAGCCATTATCAAGTTACCTCTAGTGGAGGAAATTAAAAAAAATCATTACAGGAGATTCACAAATTTCTTCTCTGTGCTATCTGTATTCTCTAAATTTTCTGGAAAGAGTACAACATGATAAACACATAGAGAGGCAGGCAACCATTTATACTACTCACTCACTCTCCTGATGCTTCATTTTATGAAGGTAAAACAGTAAAATAAGGAAATGTAGTGATTTATGTAAGAAGTGTGTCACAGGTTAGATTCTCCAGGAAACACATGATAGAACAGAATTAGGAATGAAAAAAGGTTTAATGGGGAGAACTCTTGCGAGAAGAATAAAGGAAACAGCAGGACTGGACAGGAGGAGCCATCAGATCACAATGCCAACCTGCCAAAGCCTGTCCAACAGAGGGCTTAAGAGCAAGGGGAGCCAGTAAGAGGATTCTAGTACTGGGTGGGAAGGCCAGGCTATTCTATCAACTTTAGCTAATTGGCTGGAGGCTACTCTGAAAGGAGCAGGACCTTGGCTCCAAGGCTCAGGCAGATCCTGAAGGGACTAACAGCTTTCTTTAGCTACACTCTTTACAATGGGTAGCAAGTCCTTTCTTGAAAGGACATCTGAGTTTATTATTTTCTAATACATCTATTCCCTTTGACCATACTCACCTACCCAGACCATCCACAGTGCCAATCCACCTTACAAATCCCTTCCAGCACTGATGAGAAGAATACAAAAGAATAGGAAGAAAAGAGTTATCTTGAAATATACTTTGGAGCTTTAAGAAAGATCTGAAATGTCGTAAAAGGTTAGGGGAGGGGATGGAGAGCAGAGCAAAAAACAGAAACCTTTCACCCCACCTCTACCATTCCTGCAATTCATATATTAACTATGTACATCTTAAAAAATGGAAGAATGATCACATTGCAGAAAATGAAAATATGAATCAAAACTGATGAAACTATTTCAGAGATATCTACCAAATTAGCTCATGGTACTGCAATGTGTCGTAGTGACATGGCTGCCAGAATCTTGACCATGATGTACAGCTGGTGGCTAACTGGCAGTAGAAGAATAGCCTAAATCCTCCCAGTTTGGTGTGATGAGGGGTGTGTGGATTAGGGAGCCCGGAAGAGGAAGAACAACATCAATTCCTTCCACTCCCCAAAAGTAGAGAACTACTGTAATTAAGTTTACTATAAATGATATTAGATAAATGATCCTAGATAGTTAGCCCCCACCAATACCACTTCGGGTGAGCTGGGTTTTTTCCTTCTATTGAAGTATGGTTGATATACAATCTAATATTGGTCTTAAATGTACAACACAGTGATTCAACAGTTACCCATATTATTAAATCCTGACTGAGCTGTTTCTCCACATGTTCAATTTACTAGAGAAAGGTCTTTCCATTTCCAGTCCCAATTCCTATCCTAAAAAGTATAGCCACGTAAAATATACAATTTACAATTCTTCTTTGGCAAAAAAAAAAAAAAAAAAAAAAAGTGCCTTCACCTATTGGAAAAATGTTACTTCCTGTATTACCTCTTTTTCTTTCCCATGCAAGTTATCATCTCCCATCTCCCATTGGTTATCTTCTCTAATGTTTATGGACTTTCCCATATTTTTTAACTTCCACTCAGCTCAAGTTCACCAAGGAAAAGAATCCACAGAAACTGACTCCTTGAGTTTGGCTGTATCATTCATATTTAAATTAAATATAACATCTCAAAAATACAGTTGTTCCCTTATACAATATCCTGACAGACTGTGAGCTTAGGGTCTGCTGCAGAACAAAACTGAATCAATGAAGACTGCAAAGGTTATTTATATTTCTCTTTTTTTCCCAAATAAAAAAATAAACAAGCTCAATAAAACAACTTCTTGCTCTCCTTTCAAATTTTCTCAAACCACAGTTAGCAAGCCTAAATAAAATGACTAACACTCTTGTAATACCCAGTTTTAAGCAATTCTCACCATTCAACCATCTCACTGCCCAAAAAACGTCAAGCCCCATGCCCCTGAGGACATGTTTGCCAACTTGGCTTTGAGCACGGATGCCAATGAGAACACACAGGGATGGGCTCAGGTGCAATTCCTGTGTAATTACACACCCAGCACCAATTTGCACAGCACTTCATTTTTCACTTCCATGATTAGGTAATGAAACCATCACTCATACTCCCAGAGGACACAGAGGCATTCTGAAACAATTTTTCATTTTTTCATGTCAAAAGAAGCCCTACAAAACATTTCACATTGAAGCGTATCAACTCAATGAATGTGGTTTTCCTGACAGTCTTTTAAAAAAATCTTTCCCACCCTTCACATTTGTGTTAGGCCTTCTCAGTTTCCCCAAAGTGATCAAGTCTTTGAGAGAAACTACAAACCGAAGTCAACTTACTGGAATCTGAGCTTCTTGGGACCATTTGACTAGGCATCTCATCTTCCAGCACTAGAAAAGGTTTTATTGACATTTCTACTTTCAACACCCTTTTGCTAACTTCACCTTATTTTATAATAGAAATTACATCACTAGGACATGCAGGAAATAGCAGATCCTACCTTTATATGTCACTGGATGCTGTCAAGATATTTAATTGGGCAGAATGAATATACCTCTCTGGTTCCTTGACTTTGACATTGAAGGAACACAATACTGGCCTGAGAGTCTGCTGTCGGGCTCCTGAGCCATGCCCAATGGCCCTTCGGTAGATCAAGAGGGATGGTACTGAAGAAACCATTTATTTGGCTCAGTAGAATCTTTTCCTTTGAAAAAACCACTATACTACATCCAACTAAATGCAAACCAGTTTTTAAAATCCATATACCTTGCCTAAGTATAAATTAAGGTTAAGATTTTGAGACCAGGAGACTTGGCTACTGTTTCTAGCTGTAATACCATGTGACCTAGGGTAAATTACACAGGATTAAGAAAGAAAAACCTCTCTATTTAAGTAATGAAAGTTCCCGACCTACTTCATAAAGAATCTGTAAAGATAGAAGCTCTCAACAAACTACTCTGGACTTGTTGGAGAAAATTGATTAACATGTGAAGAGTTAAAATCAATTCACAGAAGTTCAAGATGGGAACGAAACTACTTTGTTATCCACATAAAAGTCATTGCTACTACAGTCAATATCATACTTAGCAGTGAAAAGCTAAAAGCTTTTCCTCTAATATCAGGAATAAGACAAAGACACCTACTCTCACCACTTTTATTCAACATGGTACTGGAGGTCCTAGCCACAGCAATCAGACAACACAAAGATATAAAAGGCATCCAGATTGGTAAGGAAGAAGTTAAACTGTCACTGTTTGCAGATGACATGATATTGAACACAGAAAGCCCTAAAGGATCCACCAAAAAATTACTAGAATAACTGAATTCAGCAAAGTTTCAGGTTACAAAATTAATACACAAAAGTCTGTTGCATTCCTATAAACTAACAATGAACTAGCAGAAAGAGGAGTCAGGAATACAACTCCATTTACAATTGTATCAAAAAGAGTAAAATACCTAGGAATAAACCTAACCAAGCAGATGAAAGACCTATACCCTGACAAGACACTCATGAAAGAAACTAAAGACACCAATGAATAGAAATACATCCCATGCTCATGGATAGAAGAATTAATATTGTCAAAATGGCCATCCTGCCTAAAGCAATCTACAGATTCAATGCAATCCCTATCAAAATATCAACAGCATTCTTCAAGAACTAGAACAAATAGTTCTAAAATTCATATGGAACCACAAAAGACTCTGAATAGCTAAAGCAATCCTGAGAAGGAAGAATAAAACTAAGGGGATTAACACTCCCCAACTTCAAGCTCTACTACAAAGCCATAGTAATCAAAACAATTTGGTACTGGCACAAGAACAGACCCATAGACCAATGGAGCAGAATGAGAGCCCAGACAAAAACCCAAGCATATATGGTCAATTAATATAAGATTAAAGAGCCATGGATATACAATGGGGAAATGATAGCCTCTTCAACAACTGGTGCTGGCAAAACTGGACAGCTACATGTAAGAGAAAGAAACTGGATTATTGTCTAACTACATACA